GTACTATCCGATCACCAGACTCTACAATGCCACAAAATAAAGTGCCAGGAAAAAAACACCCGAGCTTGCTCCAGAAGAATCAATTCCTGAACCAGCCTTGGCCCAGCTAGGTCAGCAGGATCTTGCTTGGCAGCTAAGCTCCTACATCTGCCTGTGGTACTACACCAGCACTGCCACGCTCTCCTGCACCAGGGCTAACACTGATGCACTCTGCCACAAAGACTCTCAATCCACCACACTACTTCTCTCTACAAAGCACTTTCTTATACCAAGTAGATGTACTTTAAGATCCAATGCCTTTTTCATTTTACAAATGGAAGTTAGTAAAGGTGCTGTATTCCAATACCATAGCAATTGCCAGAAGAGAAGAAACTAGAATATTTAGGGAGCCATCTGGTTAACAGGCCTTCAGGAATTGAAAGCACTTTGTAGAGAAAGACATGAACTATTGCTGTCAGGCAAGCTATGGAAGCTGCAGTTGCCCAGAAGTTCTAGAAAAAAATGAACTAAAATGAACCTCAAGCCAGTCACTGAAAAGAGAGGCATTAAAAGCCAAATGTGCTACACTGAAAGAACAAGCACAATATTTCCTATTTCCTTAATCCTGATCCTTGCCCAAAGCAACAACAAAGTTACAATCATTAATACATGAAACTGTTTTTTCCTTCTTACATCAGTTTTTAGAAATGAAGGAAATACTTGGTTTCCTCTAAACCAGTACAACATTACAAAAGCCAAAGCTAAGGGTGCTTTCCCTGACAGTAAGGGACAGGGATCATGCTCAGCAGCCACAGAATTGAGGAACAATTAAGAGGACTGCTCGAGAGTCCCCCAGCAGTGCAGTATGACTTTTGATAATTATTATCTATGCCTCTAAGCATAGTTATCAGCTTCTACTGATGTGATTTACTTTGTTTAGGTATGGTTGTATTCCTGACTTAAAAAAAAAGGTTTTCTTTTCTTTGGACTTCAAAGATGAGTGTGCCTAAACAGCTGTAAATCCAGTAAGCAGCCAGTCCTACCACTGAATGAGATGTTTACAGGACAGTCACAAAGTAACTTCATTTTTGTAAGGACATGGGGAGCAGGATGACCTGAAAAGATCTTATACAGTTACTTTCTGCAATTGTTATTCCTAGTGTAAATCAGATGCTGCTTTCTTGGTGCATGGATGCTTAGGTTTTCCAGAGCACATCACAAGGAAACTGGGAAAAAGACTCTCTCCTTGCAAAAAGGTTAAATAGCTTCACTCCAGCTAACTAATGTTAAAGAGTCACTGTTTGAATAGCATTAGTAGCAGACTAATGAAGTCTCCAGTAATTACATCAGTGTTTCTTACCACTACTCTGTATCTTTGTGCCACAGAATGGTGATATTTACATTATCTGCAATTTCTGAGGCCCCAGCCTGTCTTTTTCCTTGAATCCATCACCTTTGCTGTGGGAGGATAAAGTGTTTGCTCCTTTTGAAGAGCATCCACATGTGGTTATGGAAGAGCACTTCAAAGTAAGACTAGAACAAGAAAGATGATCAGGGCCTGACAATTTCTGCTCACTCTAGGTTATCCCCTGTGGGGAACTCGGATGAGGCCCTGTGCACTCTTCCTCCATGCTACAGTGCAGCTCTTTGTCTCTCTTACTTCTCAGACTGTGCACCCACCTGTTAGTATTAATGGGAAGATGACAGATATTTTTTCCCCATCTATTATAATAAAAAATATATATCAAAAGTTACTGTATGGGTTGATTATCAAAAAAAGCACACCTAGGTATACATTTGCACATCCATCTGCATGCACAGCCTGTACAAAAGGAAATTTGGTGTAAAAGTTCACGTATGTTTAAAAAAGAAAAACAGAAAGCACGTATGCTCCCTCTTTATATATGAATTATAAAAATCTGCACATTTTGGAAAGACAAAGATATCTTTGAAAACCCTAAGGAAGAAAGGTAGGAGACAGGCATAGCCACATTTGTTTGCAGGAGAACTTAGATTAACAGGCTGTAGGCAGAATTTATTCTGGTCACCAGTGCCCTGAAGCTGAGTCTAGCAAGAAGAAACAAAACTGAAATATTCTTTAACAAAAGTCAGTGAAACTATAATCTTCCCATTCACCAATGGGAGGGAAAAAAAAGTGAAGGTGCATCTCTTTACTGGACCAGCCATTTCTTTCCCTTAATGCAAATCTCAGCATCTCAACTTGGGAAATGATTCCCAAGCGTGTTCCAAGCCATTATTTGCTTCATCTCTCTCTCTCACTCCTTTCACTGTACACTCATTTCCTCAGAATCCTTATGAACAAAAGTGAGATCTACATCATATTTGGACTTCTATTCTTCACACAACAAACAAACTACTGTGAAACCTGCTGTCGACATGCAGACTGGACTGCCTCAGGGACTGACATGGGAAAGGTCTTTAACAACTTCCTCACTCCTCTTTCATAGAGAATTATTCACCACTGCTCTTATCCCTCCTACCTTCTACAGCAAGCCCCCATGCCCACCCGTGCCTGCTCTACAATCTATCCCCCTGGCTGAAGCCAGGACAACACTGTGTGTTGAGGAGGTGGTGGGATATGCCAGCCACTGCAGGCTGCTCTGTACACTCTGTTCTCAGGGCTGTTTGCTGTGCGGGCCGCAGGCTTCAGGCCTTTGAAGGGTTGAATACCATCTTTTGATTTACTATGGCTGATGGGGTATGGGAAAGCTTTACAACTGAAATACATAGAAGAGTTAAAAAAATAATAATTAAAAAAAAAAAGAAAGAAAATAAAAAACAACACAGGAAAGACCTATATAACCACACAAATGATAACAAGTAATCAAATGGAATAGATCAAAGAAGAAAGAGACAATTCTTAGTAATAGTTTTTAATGACTTATAAGAAAAGCACAATTATATAACTCACCACTCAAAACAGTCACTGTTTACACACACATCATTGGTTAGATGCTCAGGAGGATGGTGACATGCAGCTAGTCAGCACCAAGCAAGATCAGCTTCAGGGGGTGTTCCTAACACTTCTCACCAGTAAGAGGATTTTGGCAGGACCAAACGATGAAGACTTGGTTCTTATTTGTGACATTTTAGCTATAATCAGTCTCCTTAAAGAGTCAGGTGTGACTTCCAGTAAACAACAGAATTTAAGTGGCTCTGTTAAGGTCATTCCTCCTTAACCTCTCTCCAACAGCAAGGTAACATTGCTGTTTTGAAGGCAGGAAAGTCCCAACTAAAGGAAAACACCTTAGATTTGCAGCTCTTCTTTGCACAATGACTCAGCATTCTTACAATAAGTTGAAACAGTGTGAGATTAGTGTCAGTGCTGTTTCTGTTTGAGAAGCTGCTATCATAGTTGAAACTGACCTATTTCTTCTGCCTGCTACTTGCTGACTATAGATCTATTCCTAGGCTAGCTGGACACTCAGTGGTGATTTAAACTTTCCCAATTGAGCTAAGAAGAGCAAGCATATGTATTCCAAACAGAAACCATACAGCATAGGTTTTTTTTCATTCATTTGTTTTTGCCTTTTCTATTTTCTTTTCTTTTAATAATTTGTTTGCTTTTGCCTTTTCTATTTTATTTTCTTTTCATAAGACAAAACAAGTTTCCATAACCCTTTGGACAGAGACTATTATTAATAAATATGAACTTGCTTAAATGCATCTTCTCTTCTTTATTCTCCTAACCCAAAAGCTGATGCTAGTCTTATGAGAGATTTAAAGCAAAACAAAAACAACAAAAAAAAAAAAAACAAAAAAAAACCCACAAAACTAGATGTAAGTTTTTAAAACAAGCTGGCCACTTACTGGACAACATATTTCCCAGGTAAGGATAAGAAACCTTAAAATCATCACTCAAACTCAACTGTGACACAGAAAGTCCTTGATAAATTTATAATATCTACTTAGGATACGAAAAACAAGAGGCATTACTACAGGTATGGGTAAAAAACACTGCCGCACTCTACAAAATCACTACACTACACAGTTTGCTCCTGATATCAACATAGTGGGACTTTCATGATGCTGATGTTGTTAGTTCAAAATAATGTGGAAGCTTCCTCCTGTGGGATTTAGAATTTTGAAAGCTGGCACAAGCTTTTGCAGACCATGAACATCTTTACATCAAGTACCCTGGACTTCAGAAGAGGTTTAACATTTTCCATTATCATTATACATTTTCCATTATCATTATACATGATAGTTCTGTCTTTTGATCCAAAATCTCTTCTTAATTATATTGAAAGATTCACATGAAGCAAGTTGCATCAGTGCAAAGGAAAGTAAACTTCATCTCCTGCGCTTACGTTCTTTAAAAAGAAGGCTATTTGTCATTCACTGATAAGAAAGTGGATACAGGATAATCAAAAAGCTCATTCATTCCCTCTCAAAAATTTTTGCTGTTATTATTGTTGAATTTGTTTCTAATGGTCTTTTATCATTTTCTATGACTCTAAGGAGATAGAATAACCTTTTGGGATAGGGGGATGCACTTTCATTACTGTTGCCTTTATTTTAACAAAGACACTATCAAAAGATACAGGCTTTTTTTCTAGATACTAAAAGTTCTAAAGGCTGAAAGATAAACTATTTATGAAATAGAAATAATTTGTAATTTAGCAAAATAGAATATTTAAGATCAAGTTGTAGCAAACATTGTCAAATTCTGTAAAAGGTTTAGGATTCACAAGACTTCTGCTTGCCACCATATCCATTTTACTTAATTCTCACATTTGGCTTTGACTGTTTTGAGTGATGCTAAATGAATGAGGGATGTAACTGATCAAAAGATGGACCAAGCAGCATGTCTCACACAGAGCTCACCAGTCCCAGACCAAGAAAGGAAACTTAAAAACTTAGACTTTAAAACCAACACCGTTCATAACAAAGAACTAACAGCAAATCTCCATGCAGCAATACAAGTAAGAGTTAATCTCCACAATAGAATATATTTATGAAGGTCTCAGCAGCTATTTTAGTGATCAATCCAATCAAACCAACAAAAATTAAACAAAATAATTTTAAAAACCACTAACCACAAGCCCAAACTAAGAGTGAAGGCAGTGGGAGGTTTTTATACGATACCTAAGTTGACCATAAGTTTGACACGGCCTCCATCCAGCTCCAGACGCAGAGTGTCAGCAGAATCTCGTGAGGTGGTTGCCATCAACAGCCCATAGGCGCGCTGGGACATGAAACGGAAGGACACATCTTCTGCCTCAGTATGCATGACCATGGGCATGATGATCTTCATGTACATGCTGCCATCATAGCTCAAGATAGAGGCCTCTGTAAGGAATCAGTAAACAATTTCAAAAAAAATGAAAATAAGTTACATTTCTACATGATCTCCATCCCTGAGGAAACCTGACATCTATTACAGAGCACTGTGTTTACAGACACTCGCCACACGCTCCAGGAACAGTACGTCTCTCTGGGGTAGAACAGAGCTACTGTTCAGCTGCATCCGGCAACTCTACATAACAAGTATAAGCAGGAAAAATAAAGATAAGTGTGTTAGCTCTGGGCCCTTTGGAGATAAAGAGGTAAGACAGACTCCATTTTTCACATCTTCCAGAAAATGAGATCTTCTCCATTAGTCCAGCCTATCCTAGCATAGCACTTGCTGGAGTGACTAGTTCAAACACTGCTCCTAAGGCATTTAGTCTTGCCTTAGAAAATGCTGTCTCTATTTCTGGTGATCTTAAGTTGTTGCTTATTCAGCGAGGAATTTCATTCCATTGTTGGGACTTTAAAGGAAAAGAGAAACCATATACAGTTATAGTCCGTGGCAACACAGTCCCTCAACAATCAATCTTACTTGCAAACCTTGTACAATAGTAGCATCTAGAAAGCTGCTCATGGCCTAAATAGACAAATCAGACAAATCAGACAAAACAAGCAAGAGAGAATTAAGTCCTGTATTTGTTCCATTGTTTCTGGAGGTAGAATTTAATTTATCAAATTAAGCAAGCCCAGCCATTAAATATGAATTATCATTAATATAGGACCTATAAAATTCTCCAGAGGAGAGAATTTATTTTAGAGAAGTGAAAAAAAGCCACACATAATTAGAAGTAGCAGAATGAAAAGGAACATACAACATCTAAAACAGGAAAGTGAAAATATGTTTCCAAAGTCCAAGTTAGACTAAGAGCTTCTAGAGGTACACATTATTAAAGAATAATGAAACTTTGGTCATAGGAAATGCTATTTAATAGTGAGTTCATAGATCCATCCTACTTGTAATCACTTGATCTTTTTTCAGTTTTGTTGTAATCTTGCAGACAAATATCTGCAAGCATGAAACAGGTTTCCTAACAGTTTTTCCCACACCAGGTTTGTGCTATTTTATGGGAGCTTTTCCTCCTCCTTACTAACAATATTTCTGGAGCTCTGCTGTCACAACTGGTGGCAGTGCAATGCAAATAATAAAAAGAACAAATCAAAATTTGCATCAAGTTTAAGTGTCATTCAAACATTGGAAATGGCAGGAGCTGGAGGCAGAACAAAAGGCAGGGGTGTGGGGAGGGGGGGGGAAAGGAATGATATTAAGTTTTTCTGTCCCCTCTGAAGATATCAAAGAAAATTGAGTTTAGTGTGAAAGGAGTTTCAGTAGTTAATGCTCTATTTGTTCAGGACTTTGCCTGTGGAAACTGAAAGTCTTCTCTGAAGGGGTAAAGTCTTGTGAAAGAAGTGCAGCCACCAGTATGGCATGGCAATCATTGTTTCAGTCTGTGCATATGCTCTAAAACACTTCCACCAGCAAAATTTACAAATCTGCATAAATATATTAATGTATGAATCAGAGCATCCCTTTTCCCCAGAACCATTTCCTACCAAAGGCAGATAAGTAGATTACTCCATGTAGGACTTTTACAACAAAGTTATGAATAAAAATCCCAGAGGTAGAAAAAAAAAAGACTGATTTAAACTCCCTAGGCACATGAAGGGATTACTCCGTAAAGCACTCTTACCTAGATTCTCACCATTCTCCCTAACTACACAAGGAAAGAAAACACAGTATCAACTGAAACAACAAATATTTGGAATATAGATGTTCTTCTTAGACATTTTCATTTTTCACATCATCAGCTGACCCCCTTATGCTGATGGGACTGGAACTTTTAGAGGGAAACAGTAAGCTTATTAGAGCTAACTCTTGTAGTCCTCTCAAGGCCTAAATGTTTGGTGCTAGAGTAGGAGAGTTGGACAGGAAAATGAAGAACATGTCAATTTCTTCCAAGTCCATGCTGGAAAGGATCCACAGTGGCTAGAAATAGACATGCAGTGTGGTAATAAATATGCAAAAGAAGAGGTAAACAATTATATGGTTACAAAACATTTGATGGGGATCACTGTGGTTGGACTGGTGCAGCAACCCATCATACTAATATACAGCATGCAGCACCTCCACTGGTCATGGGACATACAAGCTCATTAAGAAGAAAACTTCTCTGTGATCACCATTAAAATAATATGCCTGTGAACAACATCTTTATTCACCAGTGTTCTGAGCTGCATTCCCCACACACTGTCATGGTCTGTATGCACAAAGTGCTTTACATGCAACACCCACTCAGCCATACATACACCTTCTGGGTACCAGCTGTCAGTGTTGCCCAAGGGACTCACAGCTTTACTTGGCCAAGAAACAGAGTGGAAAAGAAAGATTTTTTTTTCTACATGGGGGGGAAAGGTTTCCTACTTTTCAAAGTGCAGTTCTCTCCCCCCTCTCGCCTGCAACTCTTTCTTGCCACCCACAGCTGCAAGCTGGAACCAAATGTACTGTACATTATACGTATACTCAAAGTCAACGCGTATGTACACACAAACCCCTCCTTGGCTCTCTCTCCTCTGTGTGGATTGTATTAGAAAATGCAGTCAAGCATGAAATGGCTCTTTTGATGCCTTCAGCTCAGATGTGCCTTGCATGAAAAAGTTGCATGCCCTAGCACCTGAATAGCTGTGGGAAAGGGATTGGAGAGTATCAGGACCATGAGTGGGAGTCGCTGACACTAGCACCTCAGCTCTGCTGCTTTCTTGTTCACAGAGCCATACCTTCGGTGCTTCAGAAATATACATGCTTTTTTTCTGCAGACACTGTAAGACAACAAATCAAAAGAGTAGTAATAATGACTCTCTTCCCTTCTAAAATAACTCATTTGTGCCCTTCAGGTCCACTGATTCCACTGACAGAAAATTACTGTCCATAGACAAGAAATGTGAACTGTTACTATATTTGTGTAAGACTAATATGAGAAACACCCAGAATTGCTGAAGATGGCACAAAAATCTAGAACCTAATGTTCTGAGTAGCTTCTGAATTAAAATCTGAACTCAAAAACGTCAGGGGAAAAAAAAAAAAGAAAGAAAGAAAACCACTGATGCCTAAATCAACCCCAGATTCAAATTCTATAAGCATGGCTTGTACTTGCAATGAATTACACAGTGAGATAAAGCAGGAGGAGCCCCAAGGGAAAAATGTAGTGTAGGAGGCAAAAAAGATCTCGTACTGAGCAAAATCTCTTCTTCCCACCTCCTGAATCCCTTGCTTGCTCTTCTAGGTATCCTTTCCTAAAGCTCTGCCCACAGCATTCTGTGTATGGAATGCAGAGGACCCAAGGGTTCTCAGTATAGTTCCAGTCACCATACTAACAGACATGTCAGTTTAGAATTAATAGAGACAAACCAGACAGAGGAAAGCTGAAAGTAAATTTCCAATTGGAATCAATAATCAAAATTAATTTAAAAATCAAGACAGTGTTTCAGTTGATATTCAGTAGTACCCTAAATCAGGTATTACTTCAGTTTAAGTTAATGTCTCTTCTCTGACCAACCTGATACAAATATAGCTCTGCACTGAATCCTTGCAACAACTATGCAGATAAAATCAAATAGCCTGAAATAGATGAAACAGCCCCTATGCAACCATGTGAGAAGATGAGCTTCTGCCCTTGTGTGTGCCCTCTGCTGACCTGAGCCTGTCCCAGTTCAGACTACCTAAGCACGTGACATCTTTTAAATGTAAGAAATTTCATTCTCACCTTACAAGTCTTCACCATCTGAAGTATCTGTAAGCATTTTCAGCACACCTCCTTGCAAGCAGAGCTTTCTTTCTAACTGTAAGAATAGTCCTTCAGAGGGGGGTATTGCTTAGTAGCAATGACAGAAATAAATCATCTCTGCTTGTCCTAACAGCAGTCCCCAAAACTCAAGGATGGCACATTATTGCTAAGCAACACATACAGAAAATCTGCTGATGATTGAATGTAACCTGGCAACAACTAAGTGACCTCAGTTCTCCTGTGCTGGCAACTTTTGCCTGAAAACAGGCATCCATTTGATTGTCTTCAGCCAACTGCAGCAAAGAGATTGTAACACTTCTGTACAGCACCATAAATACAAGCAGCAGTTAGTTATTAAAGTTAAAATATATGCACATTCCTTCCACCTGTCCACTTTCAGGGTAGCAATATGCAGCACAAAAGATTTCACCCATGTTGCAGGGACCTGCAGTACAGACAAAAAGATCTAGAGCTGCATTTATCAGATCTCAAAGCCAGAAGCTTCATTGCCATTAAGCTGGAGATGGAAAGAGGAAGAAACCAGGTGCTAGTTCAAAACTGCCCTGACATAATGCCAGAGATCTGTGAAAATCGATATGTTATTAGGAGCAATTAGCTTCCCAGTCTTGTGCTCTGAGACCCTGCCAGCTTTAATTTTGCACTTAGCATCCAAAGGAGCAATTTACTGCTGCTTCCCCACAAAGCCCTGCATAAACATTCTAGGGAGGTGGCAACAGGCATATTCTTGCAATACAGAGATAGAAAAATATTGAATATCTCTTCACGATCTTTCTCTTGGTTTCTAACCTTTCTCCTATATTAATCTCCATTCTTTTTGGCTGTCCATCCTGTTCAGCCTTTCCATAGTGCCTTGTTCTTCCTTGTGGGTTCCTCCTTGTCTCCCAAACTAAAAAAGAGCTTTCTTTTTTCTGGAGGTCTCCAAAAAAGAAGACTGTGAAAAAGATGACCTCCTCTTCATTAAAAGTTCAGCTGAAGTGATTAATGACAGTAAACCAGGGCACACTGTGCATTCCCCCTACAGTTGCATTTAGGAAAGTCAGCTGTTGCTCCCCATTCCCACTGAGCAGGGCTTCTAGAGGAAAGCATTAGCAGTTGGAGAGGCATAATAGCAAGGACCAAGAGTGGAAAAGAAGAGGCATGTTAGTTCAAAACTGCAGGAAATACAGATGAGACAATACCACTTTCCTGCAAAAAATTCAA